TCCTGAAATCCCCCATTTGTCTTGACTCGAAAGGAAACGAACTTCTCCCCAGTCCCTGAGGAGATGACCTGTTTGCCACTGTCTACTAGTTAGTAAATTTTGTCAGTAATTAATTCTGGTATATAGGATTAAGCAAACTCTTCGGGAACAAGGTGAATCAAGTAACCCATTGCACACCTAAGGTTCCTGCTCCAGTACCTTGAATTGATTATTGACAGCTTGAGGATAGTTAGATTTTATTATTATTATTGCACAGATTCGGCACCTGTAAAAAACCTAGAGTGCACGCAAAGGGCCAAGGTGTAAAATCCAAACAACACACCAAGTGTTTAAATTTGATAATCTCTCTATCTATCCATCTATTATATCCACGTCTATATCTATCTATCTATCTATTTCTATACTATATAAAAGTACAATGAGTTTTGGTATTTTGGAGTCTGGGTGTAAGCATTGTTATGATTTGAATTATGCCCTTCTTAACTTGTGGTTAAGTTTCATGCAATCTTAAGTATGGGTTAAAGTTTAATTATGAATTTCTAATGATCAAAATTCATTGTATCATATGTACTGGTTGGTTAATTATTACAATCACTATATTGCATCATACCATAGTGATTTAGAAAGAAAAATCTCCTTAAAGTTATAAATAGTGAAATGGTTTGAGAAATATTTGTCAAATGAATTATATGAGTTGCACACATCTAGTTCAAGAGGGGAAGAACTTTTTATGTTGCACACAAAGGACTTTCACTATACAAAAAATTAGACACCTTCATATAACTGAAATAACAATATTAAACTGAAAAAAAAAGGAAATCTGAAATAGCCCATACAATCCATCATTATTATTAATAGCAACCCTTCATAACAAGAAAAACTGAAAAAAAAAATGAAAACTATTCATAAAATGACATAAAGCGAATAGAAGTGAATCAAAAAGCTAAAAATACAACTCAAATAATACCACAAATAACTTTCAAATCACTCGAAATTCTAATTCAGGTGAGTCAAATCTAAGGGAAGACAAAAATTTGTTATTGATAGCAATAGAGTAGTGCTTCGTTTATATATTGTTTCGAGCAAATCGAGTTAATCCAGCAAGCCATCAGTCCAAGGAAAAGGAGAAGAAGAAAAGGTTACCATATATAATACTATAATTTGTTAACTACATATCCTATCTTATGTCTAGAAACTAATAATTGTACTCGAAGAAAAGGTAGATCTGCAGTGTTGGTTGGTCTGATACTTTTACCTCTTTGTGGCTAATGTAACCAAGAAGTTGCTTGATGAAATGATGAAGACCTGATCCCTTCACACACTTTTTTTTTTTCCTAATCCCTTCTCATTTTTCTGTTACTTGCCCTAATAATTTGCGTAATAAAGATTTTTTATATTTTAAACGATAAGTTAACAATAAGAAAAAAAAAAGGGCATATTAAGAAGATGCATCTTCAGGAACTAGCCACCAGGCATCCAATTAATTGACCTACAGAGATGAACAAGCATAAATTGATTAATTACACTTGTGCATGTTTTCCAGACCAGGCAACATCTAAAACATGTATTCCTTTCATTTTTTTTTTTAACAATATATTACTTACTTGCTTTTGTTTTTTCAGTTCTGACGAAGATTTCATAAACAAATATAAAGTGCATTACTCGCTTGCCTTTTTTTTTCAGGTAATTTACTAATTAGTAACTATATTTTTCTTAATAATTAGCAAATATCAATTAATTATATTCTAATTAATTTCATCCACTGCAAATATGTTTAGCAAGATGACTTTTCATTTAATCAAGATTTTATTTATTTTACTGATAGTAACACTGAAAATTACTGCTGAATTGGATTTCCTTTAGCGCAGTTTCAAGGTCAATTCGTCCAGATTTTCTGAAGAAGTGCTGCCCTGTCTTTAATTACTTTAATTTCAGTTTCATCAAATCACTTTTTCGGTTTTCTTGATTACTGTTTATTGATGGAATCAGGAAGATGCTTTCTGGTGTAAATAATAACAAATTGAAAATTAAGAAATAAAAAGAGAAGCAAATTATGCATTTTCGAGGAACATGTGAAGAAGTCCTCATTTTTTTTTCTTTTTTTTGGCCACTTTCATTTCTTTATTTCTTAATTGCACGAGAAGATGCTTCAAGCAAAGAGGAAGCAATATTTATTTATTTTTGAATGGCAAACGGGCTTCAGCATTAATCCAAGAAAGTTAAGAGTGAAAATTTTGAAAAGAAAAAAGAACCAAATAAAAAATGCTAAACACATGAAAATCACTCTGATGACTATTTGGAATTTTTGCTTTTTGAAACTACCAAGCAGGCAAGCACTGAAAACATTGACAATTTCCCATTAGCCCGAACAAGATTCACTATTTATTTTTCTTTCTCTTCAAATTAATTTTGTTAACTTTTTCTTCTCCATTCCAACGATATCATCTTACACCATTAGACTTGTTGAACTGAATTTTATGATTCTAATACTATCAACATTCAGGGTTGTAGGATTGAAGGATAAAGTAATCACTCAATATACATATACATAAACATATATATACATATATATATATATATATAGATGAGTGTGTGTGTGTTTGTGGGAGATAATAAACAAATAAATAGAGTAATCTTATTGCAAATATATTAGCAGGTTGATTAATTAAATTAATCTAGATAGATAAAATAGGGTAATCCAATATTCCAATTAGTTAATTTTCTTTTCTTTCTCTTTAAGTTAATTTTGTAACTTTTTCTTCTCCATTCCAACGGTATCATCTTACACCATTAGACTTGTTCGACCGAATTTTATGATTCTGATACTATCAACATATACATATATATCTAGTACCATGTTAAAAGGCAGTTGCCTCTCCTTTGTATACATATGAGAGTGTGTGTGTGTGTGTTTGTGGGAGATAACAAAAAAATAAATAGAGTAATCTTATTGCAAATATATTAGCAAGTTGATTAATTAAATTAATCGAGATAGATAAAATAGGGTAATCTGATTAGTTAGATTTTTATTTATTTTACTGATCGATATCTAAAACAGGTCAGACCGAAACAGTACACACTATATAGTAATAGTACACAGAATTTCTTAAATAAATAAAGGCGGCCAGCATCACAAGCCATTGACCAAAGCTTAGTAACATGGCCTCATCTTAATGTAGTACTAGTAAACAGAATTTCTTAAATCACAAGCCATTGATGATGGCCTCATCTTAATATAGCCTTAAAACTTTCTCTCCTTCTTTAATATTACTCCTTGTTTGGTACATGGAAATGCACAGAATAGAAAGGGTTTCAGCTATAATCCGGTAGGGAAAAAAGTTACTGTTTCAAGGTTTGATAAACAAGTCAGAATCGAATGTTTATTTATTCAGTTTCCAATTTTTGGTATAATCAGTATTAAGATGTTAGAATGGAATATAGTAAATACAAATTTGACTTAATTACCCTAGATTAGTTTATAGGACATAATATATCTTCTTATTTTTTGTTTTATTTGTTCAACAATAGAATTTGTCTATTTACTTGAAATTTTGGTAGCTTGATTTAAAAATAAATGATGATTGGTATCAAAATTCTTCAATTTATAATTCGTATTCATTCTAATATATAGATTTTTAAGTTAAAATTTTATTTACTACCAATATAATTAGTAGTGTAAAATATAAATTACATGAAGTTAGACAATAATAATTTATTTTTAATCTATTTTCAATTTTGATATGATATTCAAAAAAAAAAATTCTTGAACGATTGTTCAAAAATGAAAGAATAAAGTATCTTAAAACATTTGTTTCCTAGTATAAAAGAAAAAAATTATTCAAAATACAAGGAAAATTAATTATTACAAAAATTACATTCAAATATTAATTGAGCTTATAAATAGCTTAAGATATGGCAATGCATAGACTTATGACGGTAAATTTGGCATGCTACTATTTAGTCATTCTAGAATGAAGGTGAAAAGAGCTTTCTCTAAATTTTTTTGAGGAATGGGATTCTAAAAAGGGTTGGAATGAGCATCCCAGCTGGAAGAAATGAACAAAACATGACAATTGTGAATTATACCAAACAGTAGAATGAAATAAACAAGTTGGAAAGGCATTTCTTTCTAGGTGTATTTGTGAGGTGCATTTATGAGGAAGAAGCTAATGAGCTTCTAAATCCTATGTCGGATCACAAATACATGACAATTTAATGGTGTAAACTAGTGAAGAAGAATCTTAGCACTGCCCATAATTTTTTTTTTCATCGTTCCTCAAGAACGTAAAAAGGATGCCCTACCAACCACATAACACTTTATTATGATCCAATCAACTCATTTGGTTGAGCAAAGAAACTGAGGTTTTAATTCCAAAATGAAAAAGATATTATGTAGATCTGCCAACTCCTTTAGATTTATTTTAAATGACAAAAGAGCTCCAGCATTGACCCAAAAAATAGGAAGCGAAAATTTTAAAATGACTCGAATCAAAGGACACATAAAAAACTCTCTTTTTCTGAATCAAATTCATCAATATCTTTCCTTTATCTTTAAATTAATTTTATTAAGTTTTCTTCTCCACTAATCCAACAACTTATCTTCAGTCTACTAAATTTAAATAATTCCATTTCTCAATTTATTTCATAATTACATAAGCAATCAAGAAGTTGGTTGATGAAACGAAGAAGTCCTCATCCATTCTAAATCTCTTTGTGTCCCTTCTTGATTGCTTAAGTAGTCAAGAAGAGTTGGCTTAATTGTTTAAGTAATCGAGAAGATTCTTTGCAGTGTGAATAACAAATAAACATTGAGGAAAAAAGAAAAAGAAAAATGCAAAGTAGGAAGATGCATTTTCGAGGAAGTAGCCACCAGGCATATTCTAATACCAGCCAGATTGAATAAATGAACTAGATAGATAAAGTAGAATAAATTGATTAATCAGGGCGAGATTTCAGATCTATTTCTCCTGTTGCCAGCCCCTCAATCAGTTTAGTTAAGTCAACTCTTTTGAGTTTTGTGCACTGTTACATTAATCGCAATTATACTAATCTGAATCTCACACATCAACCCACTGGAATCGTTAACTCATCTCTCTCTTGTTCTGGGCTTCTATTCTGATTTCTACCATTTGTTGCTGAAACATTCCTTCCATCTCCGATATTAGAAAACCTTTCGATCCAAGTTCCAATTCCAAGCAAGAAACAATGGCTGACGCTGCTATCAGTGCTACTGTTAAGGTCGTCTTGGGGACAGTCATTTCCATTGCCGCGGACCGTGTTGGTATGGTTCTCGGGGTCAAAGCGGAGTTGGAGAGACTAGGCAAAACTACTGCAACGATCCAAGGTTTCCTGGCTGATGCTGACGAGAAAATGCATAGCCAAGGGGTGCGAGGTTGGCTCAAGGAGCTAGAGGATGAGGTTTTTAAAGCTGATACCGTGCTAGACGAGCTCAACTACGACAATCTTCGTCGGGAGGTGAAGTACCGAAATCAACCAATGAAGAAGAAGGTATGCTTCTTCTTCTCCTTCTTTAATGCAATTGGCTTTAGTTCCAGCTTAGCTTCAAAGATCCGGGACATCAACACCAACCTAGAAAGGATCAACCAGCGAGCCAATGAGTTGGGATTGGTCATTAAGTACCAAATTGAAGCTGCACTCCCTGCTGATGCCGTTGGTGCCAGACAGACCGACTCTATTGTCATTCCGAACGTTGTAGGAAGATCCGGCGACGAGTCAAAGATTGTGGACATGTTATCGAGCCCATCTGAAAAGGTTCTTTCTGTTATTCCCATAACAGGCTCGGGAGGTTTGGGAAAGACAACTCTGGCGAAATCAGTCTACAATAATCCAAAAATAGATGGGCACTTTGGCCAAAAAATTTGGGTTTGTGTGGCTAAAGAACACATTAAGATAATGGAGCTGTTCAAGCTCATTTTAGTACAATTGACACAAGACGAAGTTAAAGTGGATGACAGAGAGGTTATCGTTAAAAAAATTGGAGAAAAGCTCAAGGGACAAAGATATTTCCTTGTTCTTGATGATGTGTGGGATCATGATCAAGGATTGTGGGATGACTGTTTCAACACTTTGATGGGACTCAACGAAACCAAAGGAAGCTGGTGTCTTCTCACCACTCGTCGGGTACCAGTGGCTGATGTTGTATCTACACATTTGAAGATGAATAGCGGTCCTTATTTCTTAGGAAAGCTATCACGTGATGAGTGCTGGTCCATCATAAAAGGAAAGGTGATGAGTGCAGGGGAAGAAGTACCAGAAGAATTGGAAGCATTGAAGAAGCAAATTTTAGGGAGATGCGATGGCCTACCCTTGGCGGCAAGTTTGATTGGTGGCTTGTTGCTTAACAACAGAAGAGAGAAGTGGCACTCCATTGTGCAGGAGAGTCTTTTGAATGAATGTCCAAGCGAGATTGAGCAAATACTTAAGGTGAGTTTTGATCATTTGTCACCTGCATCAGTTAAAAAATGTTTTGCATATTGTTCAATTTTCCCCCAGGATTCAGAATTGAAACAAGATCTATTAATTGAGCTTTGGATGGCGGAAGGTTTTGTTCAACCAGATCGCCAAAACCAAAGATTGATGGAGGAAATAGGGGGTGATTATTTGAGGATTTTGTTACATAATTCCTTATTGGAAAAAGTAGAGGGGTGGCAGGGAACATACTATAAAATGCACGATCTCGTGCATGATTTTGCAAAATCAATTCTCAATCCAGAAAGCAGCAATCAGGATCGCTACCTTGCATTGAACTCTTCTGAAGGTTTGGCAGAAAATACCACAAGGACAATACCAGCATCAATTCGCACATTATTTCTCCATCTAGAGGGTGGCGTATCTACTGACATGCTTTTAAGATTCAAGTGCTTGCATGTTCTCAGATTGTCCGGCGATGATGTCAAGTTTCTACCGAGCTCCATTGGCAAACTACTACATTTGCGGTTGCTCGACATTTCATGTTCTCTAATCACAAGTTTGCCGGAAACTCTTTCCAAGCTATATAATATGCAGACACTAACGATGAGAGATCATGCATTTGGAGGAGGTTTTCCAAAACAGATGAGTGATTTGATCAGCTTGCGGCATCTAAACTACTACCATGGTTATGCGGAATTTGAAATGCCGGTGCAGATGGGACGATTGACTTGTCTTCAAACTCTGGAGTTTTTTAATGTAAGTCAAGAGAGGGGTCGTGGTATCGAAGAGCTTGGGACCTTGAAATATCTGAAAGGATCGTTGGAGATAAGAAATCTTGGACTAGTGAAGGGCAAAGAAGCAGCTAGACAAGCAAAATTGTTCGAAAAGCCAGATCTGTCTCGCTTGGCATTTGAATGGAATAGGAGGGATCTGAAAAGTGATAACCATGATGAGGATGTGTTGGAAGGTCTCCAACCTCACCCAAATTTGGAAAAGCTGAGGATTTATTGTTTTATGGGTAATAAATTTCCGCAATGGTTTATGAATTTGTCAAAATTGGAGACATTACAGATAGAAGACTGCAAGAGATGCAGTGAACTCCCCTCATTAGGGCAACTGCCATCCCTCAAAAGTCTCTATTTGAGAAGCTTGGACAACATTCGATTTATTGGAGATGAATTCTACGGTATTACTGCTAATGAGGAGGAGGAGGAGGAGGGCAGATCACGAGCATCAGGGAGCAGCACTAGAAGACGAAAATTCTTTGCTGCCCTTGAAGAACTCAAAGTAGAAGATATGGAGAATTTGGTAGAGTGGAAGGATGCAGACCAAGTGAGGTCAACAGTAGGTGAAGCAGAAGCAGATGTCTTTCCCATGCTGAGGAAATTGAGCATTCAATATTGCCCACAACTGACCACTCTTCCATGCTCGTGTAAAAGTCTACACGTGGAGAGTTGCGATAATCTAACAAGTATAAAAATGGGTTACGGCGCTGCTTCTGTTGAGGAGTGGTGGATCGACTCTTGCGACAATCTTAGGGAGCTGCCAGATCTGGATCTGTTTGGATCGAGTTTGCAGCGATTGACCATCGCAAGTTGCCCAAGATTAATTAGTCTAGGAGTAAATGGACAGAAATGCCCCCTACCATGCCTTGAGAAATTGAGAATTAATAATTGCGAAGGGTTGACCACTATATCCGACAAAATGTTCGAGTCATGCCCGTCTCTGCGGTCCCTGTGGGTGATGAGGTGCCCCAATTTGTTCTCGTTTTCGCTTAATTTGCAGGAGATGTCTTCTCTCGAGGAATTCATCTTAGTCGAATGTCCCAAATTGATCCCTCATAGGTTCAATGGATTTGCTTTTGCCACCAGCTTAAGAGAATTGAGGATTGGTCCCTTCTCCTCAGATGACTCCTCAATCGATGATTTTGATTGGTCCGCATCAACACTTCGTGAGCTTGAATTACGAGGGTTGCCTCACTCGGATTCCCTGCCACACCAGCTTCAATACTTGACTACCCTCACTTCACTAAGGCTGGAGAACTTTGGAGGAATAGAGGTGCTACCTGATTGGATTGGAAACCTTGTGTCCCTTGAAACCCTATCGCTATGGTCTTGCCAAAAGCTTCAGTCTTTACCACCCGAGGCCGCCATGAGACGACTCACAAAGTTAACTCGTGTCGACGTCTTTGATTGTCCTCTATTAAGACAATGATACACTCCCCAAAGAGGCATCTACTTGGAGGAGGAGATTTCAAGTGATCCGGTGAGATTTTCCTATCTAAAGTTCACACTCATATATATGTATACAAATTTTTTGTTTCTGCATCTCATTGACATATATTTGCTCTTCAGTCTCTTGTACTCTTTTTCTCCATCTCTTTTCCCCAAAGTTATTCTCCGTAATTAATTCTCTTCTTTTGGGCAGACCTTGGTTTCTTTTCAAAGATTAGTTTTAACAAAGCCTGGTTTTGAGCAAATTAGAAGAGACCAAAATTCTATATTTTCTCTGCATCTCGCCATTGAAAGATTTTGAACATCTTAAAAACTCAACTTGTTACCTTCTATTTGGCCAAGCATGAAATTATTAGCAACGCTGCATACACAATTAGCCTCTTTGTTTGAATGTGTTAGCAAATGACTCGAATCAAAGGACACATAGAATGCTCTCTTTTTTTGAATCGAATTCATCAATATCTTTCCATATATTTAAATTAATTTTATTAAGTTTTCTTCTCCACTAATCCGACAAGTTATCTTCAGTCTAATCCAACAAGTTATCTTCAGTCTACTAAATTTAAATAATTCCATTTCTCAATTTGATTCATAATTACATAAGCAATCAAGAAGCTGGTTGATGAAAGGAAGAAGTCCTCATCCATTTTAAATCTCTTTGTTTCCCATCTTGATTGCTTAAGTAGTCAAGAAGAGTTGGCTTAATTGTTTAAGTAATCGAGAAGATTCTTTGCAGTGTGAATAACAAATAAACATTGAGAAAAAAGAAAGAAAAAGAAAAATGCAAAGTAGGAAGATGCATTTTCGAGGAAGCAACCACCAGGCATACTCTAATACCAACCAGATTAAATAAATGAACTCGATAAATAAAGTAGAATAAATTGATTAATCAGGGCGAGATTTCAGATCTATGTCTCCTGTTGCCAGCCCTCAATCAGTTTAGTTAAGTCAACTCTTCTGAGTTTTGTGCACTGTTACATTAATCGCAATTATACTAATCTGAATCTCACACATCAAATTTGTTGATTACTACTCCAATTACCCATTCACAACATAGGTATCAACTGCCACGCATTGCGTGGGACTCTCCCCTAATAGTTAATAAGATGAAGAAGTCATTATCCATTCTCGCTTCTTTTATTTCTTGTCTTAATTATTGAAGTAACCAAGAAGTCATTAGATGAATGATCCCATGATCCATTCTCCTTTCCTTGTTTCTTGTCACAATCCATTGGGAATATGTTTAGCAAGATGATTAATTATATGAATCCCATTTTTATTTATTTTACTGATAGTGCCACTGAAAACTACTGCTGAATAGGATCTACTAATAGTATCACTGAAAATAACTACTGCAAACTCAACTCGTCCAAAATTTTCTCAACTCGTCCTACCTTTCATCACTTTAATTTCAGTTTCATCCAATCACTTTCGGTTTTCAATTTCAACAAATAGGAGAAACTGGTTATGTACATTTCCCAGCTCTGAAAATTCATTTAAATTACCAAAAGCTATAGCATTGACACAAGAAAGTTATGAATGAAAAAGGAACCAAACCATAATACTTCTTAATCGCATCAAAAAGCACTCTTTCCGCTATTAAAGTTTTTAGCTTCCGAAGCTTCAAAAAAAAAAAAAGTGTACGTGACCGCACGAATAATTGACTAAAAAAATTGATGTGAAGATGTCATATGCCATTTTCACTTCTTTATTTCATTTCTTAATTACTGTTTATCGATGGAATCAAGAGGATGCTTGCTGGTGTAAATAATACCAAATTGAAATGTGAAAAATAAAAAGAGAATCAAATTGTGCAACTTCGAGGAAGTTGTTACGTGCGTCCACTCTATCCATGGTCACTTTATTATTCTTTGTTCTTGGCCTCTGTGGCGCTTTTCACATTTTCCAGATCTGAAACAAGTCCTTAATCTGTTTTTTTTTTTGGCAACCACTTTCATTTCTTTATCTTTTATTACACGAGAAGATGTTTGAAGCAAAGAAGAAGCAATATTGCCCAATGAGCATCTAAAGTCCACATGTAATCACAAGCCGCTAGAGTTGCCGAGTGGAGGGCACTTTTTAATAATTTTATTCCTAGAGAACATAAAAAAGAGGTACTGCCTACTACTAGTCACTTCTCCTTGAGGACTTGGGAGGCGGAGTTGGAACTTTTGGGGTGTTGATATGGAAGTGATGGAAACTTGAAGCTTGGAGTGCAAAAAAGAAAAAAAAAAAGAAAAAAGCGTTTGGTCAAAAACTTGTTTATCAAACAAACCCAAAAAATTAGTTTGGTGAGAATATAAAAGAGTTAGTGGGAGATCATTATTCGTTATTCTACCAAATTGAAATTTCTCGATCTTTGCTTCTTCCATTTCTCCTAGCAAAAACCCTTGCTTTCTTAGTTCTTTTCATTTCCTCACAAACGATCACACTTGGGAAATCAAGCTTAAGCAAGTGCTTCTCAAGAGCTAGGAGATCTTCCTTTATAACTTAATCAAGGTAACTCTTGCATCTTTTAAGTTTTCTTTACTTGACTTGATTTGGTTTTGGGTTTAATGTAAGTTAAGCTTTGGTTTTGAGTGGACCTTTTGGTAGAGATCCTTATATATGTGGTAGTTTGGTGATTGTGGTTATTTTTTTATTGAGGGATAATTGTTGAAGTTTTGGATGTTTGGTGATGTTTTGGGTTGATTTGTACTTGGTTGTTGTACTGGGTTGGACATAGGTAGAAGAGGTGAAAAAGGAAGTAAAGCTCGAAATTTTTATTATCACAATGACAAAACTAATTAGTATCACATTTGCCATTGATCTAAAACAAGCTATTGATGAAAACTAGTGTCACGGATTCATCTTAATGGAGTACTATTAAATGGAATTTATTTGAATAACTAAAGGCCACCAGCGTCACAAGTCATTAGGGGTGTGAATCGGAATCGAAATTGGTAATTTGGAACTTTGAAATTGAAATTTTTTGAAATTTGGGTATTAGAATTTTCGACCAAATTCGATTTCAAGTTCACCAACTCCAAATTCAATTTGGAATTCCGATTTCACCGAATTCATGAATATAAAAATTATTATTATTATAATATAAATATTATATTACATATATATATAAAAATATTATATATATATGTGAAAACAAAATTGAAATCGAAATAGGAATTCCGAATTCCGATTTCGATTTCGATTTCAATTTCGAATTGTGAATTCGAAATCGAAATTTTGGATTTGAAAAATCTCATTACCGAATTCGACCAATTCGAAATCGAATATTCCGATTTCCATTCCGAATTATCAAATTCGAAATTTCGAATTTAATTCGAATTCAGTCGATGAATCGAAATTTTTTGACTTTGCACACTCCTACAAATCATTGACCAAAGCCAGTTTTGCAGTCTCATCATACCTAGGGATGGCAACGGGGCGTGGTTGGGGCGGGGGACCCCTCCCCCACCCCCCGCCCCGTTGCCTATTAGTTCCCCCCGTCCCCCGCCCCGTCCCCCGCCTCCCGCTCCCCCAGCCCCGCCCCTCCCCCGCCCCGTCTTGCCCCGCTTCCCCCGCTGGGGCACCCGCGGGGTTAATATAATTTTATTATAATTAAATTTTAATAAATAATCAAGTACTAAAATATCAACACATCACCAAATTATTATTCATTGTAATTTTACAATTGAAACTCATAAAAACAATCAAACAGAAGTTATTTGAATACAATCCAATATGATGAAATAAATATAACTAAAATAGTCAAGTTTTCACTTTTAGTACAAATGCAATCACTAATTCATTATTGTATTTGTGCTTTTTTTTGAGAAAAAAGTGTTATTCTATTAAGTGTAATTAGAAATTTAGTATAAATGTATTAGTAAATTTAGTATAACTAATTAATAAATTCTATTAGTAGACATGTATAATTATTCATATAATTGATAATATCAATTATATTACATAAACTAATATACATTATATAATACATCTAACTAATAATATCATTATCATAAGTTTATAACTAATTAACTTACATATTATATATAATTATATATATATATTTTTTTTTGTTTTGCGGGTGGCGGGGCGGGGGTATGCTCCCCCGCCCCCCGCCCCGTTTCTTAGCGGGGGGAAAAATTCCCCCCGCCCCCGCCCCAACCCCCGCCCCGAGAGCCCCCCGCCCCCATTGCCATCCCTAATCATACCTTAGAACGAGTCTTTGTGATTAACATATTTTTTTTAATAATTCATGCTTTTCTTGGAGCATTGGGGAGCCATCAATGTAGCAATTATGAGAGGTGATAACAAATATTGCAGCACAGTGAAGGGAATTCAAGCAAAAAGCATCCAGTAGCTGTGGTACAAATACACGATTAAGTGAATAATTAACAAATAGTCGATGAGAAGCTGTCCTCACTTCTTTATTTTTGGTCTTAATTACTATAATAATAATAATAATTAAGAAGTGGCTTGATGGGATGAAAATGTCACAGCACATTTCTTTGTTTCTCGTCTCAGTTCCTTCAGTAATCAAGAAGATGATTTGTAAATGCAAATAATAAAGTAACAATAAGAAAAAAATTATAAAAAAAAGAAAAAAAAAAGCAAGAAGATGCAATTTGGAGGAAGTAGCCACTGTGTTTTGACCATGACAGATGCTTATCAAGATGACTAATTTAAACTAGAAAACTTTGAAAAAGGTAAAGTGATGCATCATGTTTCTTTTTTTTTTTTTGGGTGTTGCTTTCTTGACCAACAAATATCTGAACTATATCTTACCTACTTAGTAAAAAAAATTAAAAAGATAATAAAAAAACATGTCCTAGCTGCAATTGTACTTTTCCACTTCCTTGTTTTTTTAAAATTAATTCCGACGAAGCAAATTAGCCATACTTTCTGCTAGATAGAATTTTTAGACAACCAAAGGCCGCCTACATTGGCAAAACTAATTACTCTCACAACTAGTTTCGGGTAGAATTTTTAAATATCCGACAAAGGAAAATTAGCAGCATTAGATAGAATTTTCTAAACGACCATTCTATCTAAACGACTAATGGCCACCACCATTAATCAAACTAGTATTGATACGGTCGACAAGATTTTTTTTTTTTTTTGACAAAACATATGTCAATATTATTAACAATCTAGTTGGAAATCATCCACCACAATTTGTTAATTGTTTGACAAAGTAATCTACACT